TGCTCCCCAACTCTGGATCCTCAATCCCATTAGCCCACTCACTGAGAGTAAACATATTCCTTTATAAAAAATACCAAACTCCACTTCAGGGAAAATGCTGCGTAGGATGCCAGCTCTCTTTTCCAGCCCCTCGACCACTATTCAAACCATTCACCCCTATACAGAATTGCAGCCACACAAAGAATGTGAAACACAGTTTATTCTTTGTGGAAAGATTGAACAAGGTCAAAAATGTCCTTAGAGGGCACTGACCCAGCCCCGCCCCGCAGGTTCCTGGGGTCAGATGCCTCTGCCCCTCCCACCCCCACCCCTCCCCGTACCCCTCATTAACAAAAAGGAACGATTTGAATGGAGTTCATATATAATAATTATAATAAAAATATACATTAAACAAAACAAAAAAAAAAAACCAAACAAGACAGAAATTTAGCCGAACTGCCAGCACCGTTCACCCCATTTCCCCAACTCCTAGGCCCCACCCCCCCTGACATCCCTCTCTTCTCACTCCCTCCACAGAGTCTCACTCTCCCAAGTCCCCAGTACCATGACCACCTTTGGTGGCTGAAGGAGACTTCAAATGGGTGGGCTGGGTGGGGAGAGGGAGGACAGGACAGGATGATAGACTGAATGTAGCCATCAGGGAAGTAAGGGGCCAACCCCACCAAGAAGCAGCCAGGCACCTGCCTCTCACTGGGGTAGAAGGTAGACTAAATGCTGCCAGGCCTCTGGGAACCTCCTCTGGTCCCACAAGTAGGTGATTTCTCTCAGTTAGGTCCCCGAGTCCCAGTCCCTCTATTTTTACTTCTGTCTCTGGGCTTCCCACCCATCCCTTCCATGATTTCTGGTCAGTAAGAAAGGGGACAACGAGAAGCCAGTGTGCCTTCCTTAGGGCCCTTCCTGAGAGCCCCAGTAAAACGCGCTCTCTCTTGGGTACCGCAGCCCACCCTGTGGCACCCTTTGTGGCCTGTTCAGCCAAACTTCATTTCCTGCCCCTTGACTGCTCTGCCTTGGGTCCCAGCCCCAGCTGCCTGCATTTGAGCAAGATTCTTCAGGCTCATTCCTAGGGCTCCAGACACGGTGTCTCCCCATGGCCCCACTCCACTTTGGGCCACAGCCCCTGGTTTTAGCTATTCCAACCTTGAAATCCTCATCCAAGGCTAACATTCGAGAGGGGCTAGGGCTGCCAAGTTTCCTCAGCCCCAGTTTAGTCCTTAATGGCTCAGGCTCTTCTTTGGAAGTTCTTCAGGATAGGGAGGGCAGAGGCAGATCTTTGTGGAGAGGAACGTGACAGAGCGAGCCACCAAGACCCCCTTTGAGTTTTTCTCCGAAGGTCTCAAGGTGGTAGAGCAGTCCCCAGCCCTCACACTCTCTCATGGCCTCTGCCCTCCCTTCAACAAGATTAGATTCCTTTCAGCCAAAAGAGTGGTAGGAGGCTGCCAAGTAAGTACACCTAGGAATTGCAAGACTGCAGTGTCCAGAGCCTCCTGAGGTCAGAGTTCAGAGGTTTAAGGTATGTCAGGGGATAGAAAAGGAGATGACCCCATTTGACCTTGGCCAGTGAGGTCTGAGAATTCTGCCTTCAAGTGCAGAACTCCCATGACATTCAGATGGGGCAGCACACACACCAAGCTACAGGGCTCCCCTGAGGGCCAGAGGCTGGAAGGGATTCCGCTTAGTCCTCAGGGGACCCGTCTAGGGAAGAAGCAATGCCAGGGGTGAGGGTGGGAGAGGCCAGCCAAGGGACAGAAAGGGAGTTTGGAGGGAAGGGGTCAGGATAGGTGGGAGCAGCCCACCCAACACCTCTTGCTGCCACTGCCTTCAGAGACAAAAGTTCTCATGGTAGGAGTGGGTGGGCCAGCGATGGGGGTCAGACCTTATCCAGCAGAGAACGCTGGCAGTAGAGCAATCGCTTGGGGGTTCCATGGCGTCTGAAGAAGAAGACTGCAAGGCCTACTGCCAGCACCAGGAGCAGCAGCAATACAGGCAGCACAATGGCAGCTGCACTCACGGCTCCACTGCCCTCCTCGTCCACCTCGATGATGATCACTTCCGTCTTTTCCTCAGTCCCCTCATCTGGTCGGCCCCCTGATGGGCAGCCCATCCAGTCTCTCAGGGCTGACTTGGGGTAGCCTGGCTCTACCTTCAGCTTCTGGTTGTTGAATTTCCAGTATTTGTTCCCCTTGTAGAAGTAAGTGAAGACTGGAGGGGGTCAACAGGAAGGTGGTAAGGAGGACAAGAAAGGAGACAGTGGCAGGATGGGGATGGGAAAGGCCCCAAGAGAGAAGAACAGAAAGAAGCTTGGTTAGTGTGACAGCCAGCTAAGCTCACCTTAATCTCTCTGAGCATCAGTTTCCTCAATTGTACGAAGGGAGCAATTATGGTGCCAGGAGTGGTGGAGACTCATGAAAGCACTTAGCCACCAGTCCACTTAGCCTGGCACATGGAAAGGGCTCCACTATTATCACTGTCACTGTTTTCTATATATGATGTGCTCCCTGTTTTTCTTCCTTCTCTTCCTTAATTCTCTATTCCCATCCTCATCTCATAGACACTTCCCTTGCCCTACTCACCTTCATCACTGCCCATGAATGACCCTCTGGGAGACTCAGGGACTCCTTCCCAGACATTGATGTTTTTGGGGTACTCGCTGTCCACTGCCCTGAACTCCTCATTGAAACGGTAGTACCTGGGGGAAAGGTGACAAAAGGAAGTGGTTTGGACACTGGGTATGTCCTCAGAGGACAGCAGGACCCAAGAGAGACTGCACCAGTGAGCAAAGAGTAGCTGTGTACAGGGGTTTTGAGTAATGAGGGCCTGCAGCACAAAGTGCAGGAGGGAGGGTCCAGGCTTTAAGGAGCCATCAGCAGCCCTTAATGACAGTGCCTGGCTGCTGGGGCGGCCGCACAGTGCTAAGGACAGGAGGCATCAAATGACCAGGTCTGAAATGGTGACCCGGTCACATCCCAACCCACTCACGCACACTCAATAGAGGCTGCCTGTTGCTAGGCAAAGAGTGGAGGCTCAGCCAGCTCCTTCTCCAGGAAAACATCTTGAGGGAAAAGTGGGCCTTTCTTCAGAATTTGGGAAGGAAATTTGGGGGAGGTAGTGATGATAGTTTCTGAGGAGAGGGGCCTGGAGTAAAGGCTTGAAATCTTACTTATTTCCCCGGAAGAAGTAGGTCTTTCCATTGGGCATCCAGAAGAGAGCAGCATCAATCCTGTCAGTAGGTAGCCCTCGGCCCAGCTCCTTAATGTGCTTGGGGTAGCCAGGTTCCAGGGAAGCCTCATCAAACACCCAATGCTTATCTCCTGGGGAGGAGACAGAAGGGCAGAATCTGAGTTCAAGTTGGGCTCTGGGGTCTTTGGGAATCAAGTGACATCAGCTCCCTCAAGGAGACCCTCCCAACTTGCTTGGTTACCTTTGAAGAAGACAAATTTGCCATCCTTCCTCTCATAGGCAGTATTGATGGATGGAGGCAGGCCCCTCCAGAACTGGCCAATGGGCATTGGGTATCCATCCATCACTTGGTTATTTCTCACCCGCCAGAACCAGCGCTCCTGGAAATCAGTCAAGGTGAGAAGAGCACATAATGTCTTGTAGCTTAGTTCTCTTCCTCGGTCCTAAAGCTCCCCCGCTTTATCCTTTGATTTTAATTTTCAGTCTTTCTGTTTCTGTTTCCACCCAGCCTTCCTACTGAGAGCCCCTTTATTCCCCAAACAAGCTCACTTTTTCCTCTAACCTTGAAAACAAACATCTCCCCTCGGAGCACAGCCACAGTGTCAAAGTTTCCATCACAGATGTTGGGTCCATAGGTTGGGTTTTTGGGCTTATCAGGGATGGAGGGCCGGGAGGTAGTCCTGGGTTGAGGGGGCATCTTGGTGGGTGATCCTGAGTCACTCCCTGGGGGAGAGAACAAGAGGGATACTTCAGACTTGGGGTCAGGGGGAATGGAAGGACATATAGATGGGCAGACAGCACCCTTAGACAGGTGTAAATGGGCCTTTGTGGGGAGGCTGAAGCAATCAGCTGGGAGGTGACAGAGATGTTTTCAAAAGTGGGAGCTGATGGAGGTAGGGTGAGGTGGTGCATGTGTGTGGGTGACTGAAGGGGTGAGAGTGGGGAAATGCACAGACCAGAGACCAGGAGGGGACAAGGAGCAGAGGAGTAGCTGGTGTAGGCATGGATTACTCACCATAAAGTTGCTGAATGCCCCGGAGATCATCATCAGGCAGCACGAAGTTCTCTGTGTCCATCCACTGGTAGAAAGGTGCCATGATGGCTGAGGGATCATTGGAATGTTCCAGGCCCAGGGCATGGCCCAACTCGTGCACAGCCACCAGAAAGATATCGTTCCCTGGAGGGATGGCGATGGTGAAATGGCATCCTGGGTCCCTTCTCTAGCCTTCCTGCTTCATCAGAGGCTTCCAATCCCACACAAGCCTCCTGGTCATGTTGTCTACCCAAAGTGACCAAATCCTGAGGGCCAGTTTCTTATTTGGTATCTAAGGCACAAAGCCTTAGTAACTTCCTCTGGGTGGAGTGGGAGTTCTGTGGGGCGGCGTCCCAATCCCAGGAGGACCTGTGTTATGGAAGCAAAGACCCTCTGAGGGTCAGTTTCTCCTAGGAGCTAAATTGGAGATTTTTCTTAAAAAGTGGGTGAGGGTACTTTTTCTTGATTGTGTTCAAAATTAGCCTAGGAGATCTTTGTGGTCTCTTCTAGCACTTATTTATTTATTTATTTTTGGAGACAAGGTCTCGCTATGTAGCCCAGGCCTGGAACCTGTGATCCTTTTGAGTGCTGGGATTGCTGGCATGCATCACTTCAACTGGTAGCCCTTAGATTCTGGAAGGATGACACCTCTTCCCCACCTCCAACAGTGGCTGACTCTCCCCAGAGTAGGACCCAGGGTTTCTTCACTCACCATTCAGATCCTCATTCTGGACAGTCCAGGGCTCAGCAGAGTCAAAGTGAGTGTCTCCTCCAATGTTGGGGCCTGGGAAATAGGCATGGGCCAGGAAGCCACCCTCACCATCAAAAGGCGTGCTGTCACCATGGAAACCCTCAGCAAACAAGATCATGATGTCCGCCTGCTTTTCATGGCCTTCTCGGATGTAGGCATAGGGCACTTCGCGGAAGCGCAGTGGTGTGGCACTCTCCCATACACGGAAAGCCTTTCGGATGGCCTCGAATGTGGCATACTCGCCCACCTTTGGGGTATAATTCTGGATGCTGAGGTTCAGCCATGAGGGGAGAGAATGGGGGTGTGTTAGGCTAACGAGGGGCAAAATCCTCCTTTCCTGCACTGTCCCAGGTTCAACTGAACTGCCCAGCCACCTTCACCAGACCCACTCTTTTGCAGCCTCATGCATGACAACACCTCAGCACCAGAACTGAAGGCATTGGGGACCCTCAAGCTTTGGCTCCCCAACTCTGGGGTGCATCTCCTGATGGCTGTACCTCCTCCCCACTTCCCAGGATGCTTTTCAGAAACAGAGGGGACAAGTACGGGAGGTCTGGTCTCTGCATATCATAACTGATAAGAAAGGATACCAGATATAAGAAAGGTCACTGGTCTGTTGGACCCACCAAAAAGTGATCTCATTATGCTGCCATTTGAGGCCTTGGATGGCATAGCGCTTTCTTCGAACGTTGGCCTTGATCTCAGCCCCAAACTTGTCTGGAACACCACAGCGGGGACGCCTCATGGCCCTGGGGTGGGAGGATTGGGGTCAGCGCAGTGTATGAAAGAGAAAGGTCTCCAAGGGAGAGGGTGGGGCTCCATTACAGGCCCTGGATCCTGGCCTCAGGCCCCAGCATCATCAGTGTTGGGTGAGGCTCTGTGTGTGTCAATATGGGGAAAGGCCAAGGTTATGAGGTCAGGGTTAGGATCAGCATATGAGGAAAGGACATGAGGGACAGAAGCCAGGATTTCAGCACCATTCTAGTGCTCAGTGTTGTCAGTGGGCAACACTGAGCAGAATTCTTTTTTTTTTCCCCCTTGAAGTATTTTTATTAGCATGTATTAGTTGTACAGGGGAGATTCACTGTGACATTTCTGAATATGCTTACATTGTACATTGGTTAGGTCCGCTCCCACCTTCTCTCTCCCTCATTGTTCTATTTCATATACGTATATACAGTACATCAACCATATCCACCCTCCTTTATTGCTTCCTTACACCCTCCCTGGGCAGAATCCTTGCCAGGGTCAAACACTTACTTCAAGGTGTCTGGATCAGCCTTGCCTGTCACTTGCAAACCGTAGAATCTCTGCATGGCAGCAATGGCAGCTGAGAGTGACTGGGGTGAGCGCTGTGTGTGGGTTCGTAGGTCCCCAGGAGGCAGGTAGCCATACTGCTGTAGCCAGGCCTATAGGGAAAGGGGTGTGGCTTAGAGCATTCCCACCTGACCCAGGGGGCACATCTGCCCCCCACAGTACCTAGCATTCACCCTTGGCTTTGTGAGGGCTCCCAGGCTGACTCTGGCAGCAGGTCTAAAGGAATCCTTCAGCTTTCAGGTCCACTGACCTGAAAGCTGGCCTAGACCCCAGCATGGCTTGTTCCCTGGGGGCTGTCTGTGAGCACAGACTGGATTGGGGAGCCAGACCTCCAGACTATCTATAGCTCTCTTGAGAACCAGAGCCCTGCTGGTTTAACATAGTGTTCTAGGATGTCTTCTCAGAGCTATAATTCCTTCCAGTACTTCTCTTTTCTATGTCAGTGTTCTTGCAAATGCAGCCATGTCCCATCTGAGAAGGGGTGTGTCCACGATGGGTAGAAGGGTAATGTCAGGCTGAGGGGCTCTGCATTTGGGCCCAACACAAAGCTCTCCCGCAACAGAGGAACCATGCCTCTGTGACCCTCCGCTGAGACTTTTTTTTTAGAAAGGTGGGCAAAAAAGGAGCCAGAACTGAAATTGGGGCCTTTGGAGAAGTCTGATACAGCTCCCATCCAAACACCATCTGGCCTGGGGCGTGGAACCTAAAGGCCTGTTTGGTTCTCAGTGAAGGCAGTGGGGTAACTGTGGGATTTTATTTCAGATATGTTGTAAATTGTTCATACTATGAAAGCTGGCAAATTGTTTTAAATTGAAAGTTAGGTTTTGGTGTTTGAAAGATGCACACACTACAAAGCCCTTCTGAGGAAAAAGTCAGCCGTTTTTGTGAAAACAATGGAATATTTTTCTAAATTTGAGAAGTCAAATTTATATATGGAATATGAAGATACTTGGATTCTCTTAAGAGGAGATCTGACTCAAACAGCTCTGGTCTTTGCTCTAGCTGTGCCTTTTTTAGGGAGTCCAGAGTAGGCTGCAGGTTGCCTAAGATGAGACTTAGACGAGACAGGGGTAGAGGCTGCTGTTGGGTGCTACATCCCCTATCCATGATGGTTAAAGATGGTTCCATCTCCACACAGTCCTTACCCACTAGGCGCAGGCCCTAGTGGTGGAGCAATACACTTGAACAGGGTCTGGGGGTGATTCAGGAGCAGCTGACTGGGGACCTGAGCCCACACGGGCAGGAATTGCAACACAGTTCCAGGAATTGATCCCCCAAGGCTGTCGGGAGTTAGAACCTCAGCTGTAAACAACCCAGCCTTTTCCTAGCCAATAAGCCTGGCGTGAAAAACCCTAGCACCACCTGGCTGTGAGAGCCCCTCCTCACAGGTACAGGAGGAAATGAAGTTTAACTCTGGTATACAGGACAGGAGCCAAGGAGGGTGCTCCAGTATGGAGCTGTTCTCTGGGAGCTGCAGGCTTGCCCTGACCTGTGCTGGCTGATGCCACAGCCAGTGCCCTCAGGAGTCCTGCTGTGCCAAATATGCAGGAAACTCCCTCTGGCCCTAGCCTCACCTGTAGGACAAACACACCCCAGGCTTCTGACCCCTCTCAGGAAGCAACTGCTTCAGGACTTGGGAGAGGATAGGAGTGGCCTGCCCCTGGAACTGAAAGTCTGGAGAAGTGAGGCCTGTACTTAGGACAAGGTGCCCGATGGGTGGTGGGTGCTGGGATAAATCTCCTGTGAGACACTCAAGAGGTAGGCAGGTCTAAACAGTCACATTCACAACCCCTGCCCCATACTCTATAGAGGAAAATGGAGGCTTAGTAAAGAAAGGAACTTCCCTGGACTCAAGTGAGCCACAAGGCCTGGAAAAGAAGTGTCGCCATCCCTTTCCTCCTCCCAGGCCTGGGCAAGATTCTTCCCTCCATCTCACAGGGGCAGGCAGGCTCTGAGCAAAGCAAGAACCACAGAGACTATGAGGTCGGAACCACAGAAGAGAGGACTCTTGTGTCTGCGGCTGGGTTGGGGGAAGGGCAGAGTGCCCCAACATGCCAAGGGGAGGGGAGGGCTGTACTGGAGCTGGTGCAGAGCTGTGGTGGCCTGGCGGAAAGGACCAAACTGCCTGGGCCACCTCTGCTCTCCTTCCAGATTGGCCTGGAAAAGGAACAACTCTGTTGAGCCACAGCACACAGCAAAGCCTTGATGAATGAGCACAGCAAGGTATTCCCCAAGGGGAAAGTCAAGGGAATGCTTTACACCTTAGAAGTCCTGGAGGAGGCAGGGGGATCTCCTGTTCTACAGCAGCCCTGGCTCCCAGCCTCTGGACCTGCCCCTCCCCCTTTCTGCTTCCCAACATTCGGTGGCCCAGAAGCAAATGGTTCTGGCATTGGGAAGCCCATGACCCACTTAAAACAGAGCCAGTGATGTCGCCCCTCCCCTAGGAGGCCTAGTGGGACATAGGAGGGGAAAAAGGCGGTGAAGTTGGCAGTGGGCAGTCCCCCAAATGCCCAGGTTCCTTTTGTTAGGAGCTCTCCCTTCAGGCTCAAGTTGGGGCTCCAGGCCTGAGATAAGGGTGCCTTCTTCTCCCTGACCATCAGGCTTAATCTGTAGCTCCAGGGAGGATTTTTACTCTACGTGGTCTCTGAGCACGACAGCTCCATTGCTTTAACTACACTTTTCCTTTCAGTCCAAGAACCCTTCGGGGACAGAGAGAGCGTGTTCTTCTTACTGGAGAGGTTTCCTCTCGGGGTGGGACCAGGACTGGGACCAGGGCGGAGGAAGCCAAAGCCAGAACCCATCCCCCGTCTTGGGCCTTTCCCAGCCCCTCCCGACCGCACCCAGGCCCTCGCGGGGCTGAGTGGGTTGGGATGGCCCAAAATAAGAAGCCGATTAAGTCCGTCTCCCACCTTCACCCCAAAATAAAAGAGTGAGGGAGGACAAACTTCCTCAAGCAACTCCCACGCGGTTTTCTCCAAGGCCGGGTGGGCCACGGTCAGGGAAGGGATAGGGATGGGGGTGGGGGCGGTAGAGTCAGTAGCGACGTGCGAGAGCGCCCTGGGCCTGCCCGCTCCCCACTCCCGGTGCGACGCCCCCAATCTCCCTGCAATTAACACAGAAAAACAATTAACAGCAAAAAGGGCCTGGAGGGGCCGGCGGGGGTGGGGACAGGGGAGGCGTCGGCTCGGCGAGCTTTGGGCTCACAACTCACAAGAGCTTTTGTGTGTGTGTGTGCGTGTGTGTGTGTGATCGCGGCCACCGCCAGGCTCGGGGCAGGGATCCGAGGGGTCGCCTCCGGGAGGCGGGGGCGCACGGCCCGAAGCCCGCCACCCCGTGGGGCAGCAGATGCGTGCGTGGAGGGCGCGCGCGGGAGCGCTGGAAAGTTGAAGAAACAAACTCGCACATGACAAGGAGCTGGGACCGCGCGGGGTTTGAGCGGAGTCCAAATGTTCATCGGGCTCCCAGAAGCCGAGCGCAGAGCCCAGGGGAACTGGGTGTGGGGGGTGTTCTAAGGGAAGGAAGGGACGGGAAAGGCAGGCAGCCGGCGGC